TTTTTAAAAAGAAATGCAATCAAATTCAAACCACAAATTCTGTTACAAATTTTAGATAAGAAAGTTAAAAAGAATCTCCATAAACACTAGCATTAGAAAACTTGAATTACTTTAAAAGTCTTTGATATAATGTAAGGTGTGCCGGCTAATCGTCAAGAACCTAAACAAACGCATGTGAATCTACCTCTTTTTAGTTATATCTAAATCTATGTCACTTCACGGTTGCATGCTGGGCATGAGAATTTTCTTTTCTTTTTTCCCATAATCCTAATTTTTAGTAGAAGAGGTGTTTGAATGTGAATGCAACTCCTTAGTTGTTAGAACTTGGTATGAAACTTGCATAGGTGTAATTTTTTTAGAAAGACATCTTAACTGTTGATGCCTTTTAGAAATTACATTGCAGAAAATTAAATTTTTTTTCACAAGATATATAATTAAATTTGATTTTTTAATAAAGAAATCCAGAATGTAGAGTGTAAGATTGATTTAAATTAAAATTTAAAAATTGTTTAAAACAAGAAATCTTTAGGAAAAAAGAAGAAAGAAAGAAAACAAAAACAGTGTGTAAAAACTAAAAAGGAAACGTTGACTCTTTGGGAAAAAAGAAGAAAGAAAGATTAAAAAAATAGCATGTAAAAAGGAAACGTAGTGTATAATATTTTTGGAAAATAAAGAAATTATTTTAAAATGCACGTGATTAAAAATATCTATAAATTTGTAAAATCTTTTACATGAAATTGTCTATGAAGTATGTACTTAAACTTTAAGTAATTTTATCTCATGCAACCTTAATATGGTACTTTATGTAACAAGTGTAGTGGAATACTATTTAAATTGAGTTGAGTTAAAAATAAGATTCAAAATATCTTCACTACATTTCCTCGGAATCTTAATTTGACAAAATTACGAATTGATTTTTGAATAGTAATAATGGTGTAAAAAATAAATGTAACCTGAATTATGGTCATGGAAAGTCACTATTTGAGGTGGCTTATTCAAATTCAATATTTATAAATTTAGTGGATACTGATTAAATGAATTTAAAAATTAAAATAATTGTAATTGATAAAAATATGAGTGAAAAATATACATATATAAATAAGGGTAAAGTGTAAAAACTACCTCGAAATATTGTCCTTTTACAAATAACCCCCAGAACTATTGATTTGTTGTAATTAAGGACAAACGCATCACAAAAAAAACTGTTCTACTGTTTCTCATTAAAATTTTCATTTCTTATTAAATTATTTTTATTATCTTTTCTCTTATCTAAATATTAATTATTCTGTTTACCTTAGTTCTATTATTAATATCAATTTATCATAAAAATTAAAAAAAGATAAATAGATTTGTAACAACCATTTAATTTCTAAAATGATTAACTTATTATTAAAATTATATTATTTTTAATAAAACTTATTATAACCAGTTTAAACTTTTTTATTGTAGAAAAGTATCTTCTTTTTCAAAACAATATATTGATGAAAAATTAATTCAGGAAAATACCTATTTTACAACACACACACACATACACGCATATATACACTTTCAACGTGAATTCCACCAATATTTTAGATATATCTATATCTTTTTTTATAGATATGTAATTTTTTTTTTTTTTTTTTTAGAAATAGATGTCAAGATGGATTCTACAGTATGACTAATAGAATCTGAGTTCAACCAAAGTAAAATACCAATGATAGTGTTTTGGTTGCATAATATATCGATAATTCTATACACGTATGATTTCAGTTAAGAATCTTTGTACAACGTAAATTATAAACTTCTTAATAATTTTTTTGAATGAATACCAGTAACGACTTGTTTAAACAACACGACTTTCCGAGGCTCTCCAGCTAACTGTATAAGTTCATTCGGGAAATAATTCTATGATAACTAACTGACATTTCAACCAAATTACTTACGTGTTAGTTATCTGTATATAATTTTATTCAATTTTAATTTTTTGTTTGAAACTTCACGACCGTTAATTCTATTTGTATATACAACCCAATATTTAATATATTTTATTCATATAACTTTTCTCAACAAAACAAATTTAATATTCATGCATATCTGTTTCACATCGTAATGAACTATTACGATAACATATAAAATATAATAATTCCTCATGTACTAATTATGTATTGTATATATAATGATTCATTTGTGAAAGAATTCTATGATAACTAACTGACATTTCAATCAATGATTATACATGTCAGTTATTTATAAAATACAATATTTTATATATTTTATCCATGTAATTTTTCTAAACAGAACAAATTTAATATTGATGCATATTTCTTTCACATCGTAATAAAAGAATTCCAGAACTGAACTATTAGGACAACTTATAAAATATAATCACTCCTCATGTACTAATTATATATGAAACAATATAAATATATATATGATTAAATAGAAAGATAAAACATATAAATTGTTCTTCAATTCAAATTAAAACATACCTTTAAAAAAAATAAAAAAAATTGAAAGGTTTTTGAGTTGTAATTTGATGTACATAAACCAAAAGACAAGTTTCCTCTTAAAGCCATTGAAATTTTTTGTGGAACAAGAAATCTCTAACAAAATTTTTGTGAAAAAATTCTTTTCAAATAGAGATGGAAAGAAAGAGAGTGTAACGACCCTGCTTTTACAAACTCGGTGCGTCCTGTGATGACCCGAAAGATGACCTGGTAACAGATCTGAAATGCGGAAGCAAAAGAAAGAACAAGGCCTCTAGAGATGTACGTCATCTTTAACACACCAAAATGACTCCCCATTAAGCCATGAAACTCAAATGAGTCAAGTGCGGAAGCTAGGGTTTCAAACTCGACAAGAAATGAACCAAGGGTAAATTGGTCATTTTAAATAGAAATGGATGCTACCAATCATACCATTGGAAAGACAATAAAAAATAAATAAGGTTAAAGTCAAGAATCGCCTGATTCGGAGTCCGGATGACAAAGATATGAAGATAGAACAAAGTGACATCCTCCAATTAAGAGATACCACGACCCTATCTCACTAAAATTGTCATAACTATACTATGGTTAGAGTTTTTGTGTGTGGTTGGCACCATTGGAAAACTAATTTCAAGCTATTGAAAATAAACTCAAGAATAACCAAATTTGGATTTGAAATAACTGAGATATGGCTGATCAAATTCAGTACAAAAAAACTATCCAAGAAAAACAGAAAAGGTGCTCAGCCAAGAAGGATCAGCCGGCCGAACCTACATGTTTAGAGCCATAGAAGCATGATGAGGTCCTTTAAAATCCTTAACCATTTCATGAGCCAGAATTAAAGTATCTTGAATTCTTCTACCCTTCACAAAAGTACTCTATTCAGGACCAACCAAAGAGTTTAACACCAAAGACAATCTATTGGCCATAATTTTAGTTATAACCTTATAGATCAAGTTGCATAAGGCAATAAGTCTGAATTCTCTAAGTTTCTCAGCATTTCCCACCTTGTGGAGTAAAGTAAGGAAACAACTACTCACACCCATAGGCATAACACTAGTGCTGAAAAAAGACTGAACTGCAGCAACAACATCTTTACCCATAATGGACCAAAAAGTTTGATAGAACCGAGATGGAAAACCATCAGGCCCAGGGGATTTATCGGGGTTAAAACTCCTTTAATCTCTTCGTCAGTCACCAAACTATCAAGTGCAACACTCTCTTCAATCTTCAGTGTTTTAATAGGAGAAATTACCTCTAGCAAAGATTCGTTCCTCTTTGAAAATAAAGAGTGAAAAAACTCCACAAACCATAAGTTGATTAATTGTTGATTCTGAGTAGTCTGACCATACTCATTCTCTACCAACGTAATTGCATTGAAATTCCTATGTTGCTTGATTTTGTTGTAGAAATAACCTGTGCATTTATCAGTGTCTTTCAACCAAAGAATCCTAGATTTCTGGGCAACCAAAACCTCTTGATCCACAGCAGTAGCTTGATAATCAATTCTAGCTTCTTGCTATACTCGGAGATTAATGTCAGTATGATCACTTAAGAGGGCCAATTGAGAGTGTTCAAGGTGTTGTTTGGCCTTAATAAATTTATCCCCCACATCACCAAAACAATTCTTGTTCCACTCCTTAATGGCTTTCTTTACTAACCTCAGCTTTTGTAAAAGAATATGAATTGGACTACCACTCACCACAGTATCCCAAGCTTCCTACACAATAGGATGTATACTTCCCTGCAAACACCATACCTTTAGCTTTTTAAAAGGCTTAGGACCTGTTACAAATTGCTTGGAAATATGTATAGACATTCCATAATGATCTGAACAAGCTGCAGCTGTGTATAAAACCTTAGTACCTGGAATTTTATCTAACCAGGTGTCATTCAAGAAGACCCTATCCAGCTTAACATAGATTCGCTTGAAAAATTGACGTCTATTACACCAGGACCATTCACCATTAGTGGGGTGAACTTCACTAAGACTTGCATAATGTAAACAATCATTGAACTCATTTAGAAGTCTCTGTGGAACTCTTCTCCCACCCTTTTTGTCACTAAAGAATCTAATGGTATTCCAATCCCCCATAGCCATCCAAGGACCAGTGACTATACTGGAATAATGCCTAATAGAATCCCAAAGATCATTTCTCTCTGTAGCCAAATTTAAAGCATAAACAGGCGTATAAAAGAACTTTTCACCAGTCTCAATAACCCTCACCTTAAGAAGCATACATTGAGTTCGCACATCAATCAATTGAACAGAGAATAGAATAGGGTTCCAACCAACCCAAATCCTACCAAAATCATGTACATCATAGTTATGGATCCACTCCCAGTTGGCTCTCAACCTTCTAGTAATGGAATCAAAGGCATCCTTCCTCACCTTGATTTCAACAAGACAGACAAACTGAGAGGCCTCCTTAGTAATCCAATTCTTTACCTCCCATTGCCTTCTGGGTTTATTCAAGCCCCTCACATTCCAAAAGCCAATCATTGAGAAGTCAAGGTTGGGGCAAAAACCCCTCATTTACTTCTAGTGACCCTATCAGAGGCAGTTACAGCTCGATGTCTTGATTTTTTATCCCCATCTATCTTAAAAACACTGTCACTGCTTAAGGATTTATGAAGAGCAGTATCTCCCAAATCAAAGATGATCACAATAACACCGGCAGTAGTCGAATTAACCACATCAATCATCACCTTGTCCAGTTTTGTGCCAAAATCTTGGTCCACTTCTATATTACCACTTACTACCAAGTCAGCAGCCTCCTCACTAACAGATTCAGCTGCCTCTATAATAACTTCAGCTAGTACAATAGCCTTAGCCTCCACAATATTAATAGCCAACTCCTTAAGTGAGTCAGTAACTTGAATTGCCTTCTCTTTTTCCTCACCTTGATCAATTTCATCTTTTGTGATAGGCACTATTTCCTCAATTTTTTTGACTTGTTCAAGCAATGCAAACGAATTATGAGTAGCAACTTGAGAGGATTGAGGCTGTCTTATAGGCATTTTGCCAGACACTTTCTGGGCATCATCTACAGCCACCATTTTCCTTTTTTGCTTCACAACCCATCGATCCCCCACTTGTTGTTTAGATTTAGGTTTATGCCATACTTTTTGAGGACATCGGTCTGCCACATGATCTACTCGTTTACACAGAGAACACATAGCGGGCTTCCATTCATATTCAATGTTAATTATACAATCCTCACCATGAACATCAATCACCAACTTCTTTGGAAATTCTTGTTTAACATCAACCTCTACCATGACCCGAATAAATTGACCTTTATCCTGGTGCAATGAAGGATCGTCCATGTAAATGGGTTTTGAGAATAGTGAACAAACCTTAGAAAGAGACTTAGAATTACGACAGTGAACCGGGAGATCATGGACACGAATCCAAACTGGCAAAGAGTCAAACTCCTCCAGTTTCAAAGTTACATTATTGTTCCACTATTTAATAATAATCACGCGACCTTCAAAAGTATGAATATGTGATAAGACTTTCTGTAGATCAGACGAATGCTGAAAATGTACCATGAAGAAGCCATTCTTCAAATAGACCAACGTAACTGCCTTAGACCAATGCTTCTCAATAAACGCTTTAAAATGAGGGTAATAAGGACGCTTACCCATCACGTAACCTACAATAGACGTCTTCTAGTAATCAATTTCCTCAGCAACATTGTCTTCAGTAATAGAAACCTTAGAACCATCCGCAGGGACCACATAGTGTAGATTAATAAAAGAATTAGATTCACTTCCTTCAAAACAACTTCGCCAAGAAGGGCGAGATGGTACTGTAACTAGAGAATCTTGCCGGACAGTTATCGGCAGGGGGGAGGAGGTGGAACCTTCCTCCATCAGAGCCTTCCCTACCAACCAATACATAACATGCAAACCCTAACCCTAAATCGCCACAAACGTAGAGAGAAAAAGGGTATAAAAGTAAAATGTAGTCTATTCATTATAATGTAAGTCACAATTACCAATCCACACAATATAGTAATAACCTACAAGGTAAATACAAGTGCAATTTACAAGATTTTCATAATACACCCTCAATGAAATCTCTAGAATTTAGCAAGTCATTAAACAATAATTTCACTACACAATAAAAATATAATTAGACATGCTTTAACTCACAAACTCTAAGTCAAGCATATAAAATCTCTATTTATATGCAAATACAAGAATTGAAAAGCATGTAATCAATATATATAAAGCCTCAAATATATATAAAACCTAAAGGAAATAAACATACAACCACCCCTACCTTTATAGAAAATTGAATCTCTATAATTCAAGGTAAACAAAAGAATTCCAAGAAACCATTCTAGGGTTTTGTAGATAAGGATGAGGGGATGCTTTTACCTTCCAAAGGTTAAGCCAAAAGGTGAAGAGAAATGGACCAAAACTATGGTGGTAAGTCTAGGTTAAGGTGGTTCTTCAATGGAGGCAAAATAGAGAGTTTGTGAGGAAGAAGAAGAGTTAGTGGAGAAATGTGTATTTCTCCACTAACTAAGGGCTTGTTGGCCTTACACACACACACACACCTACCCTACCTCTCTTACACACACACAATGCAAGACTTACAATGAAGCTTACACTTGTTACAATCCTAAGCATCCATCCAAGGCTTAATTATAAGCCTACACTTGTCAATGATCCAAGCCAGCAGGTGTTCTAATCCTAGGCCAATCAGTGGGTGAATCTCCACCCTCCATATGCCATCATCCAAGGCATCCAAGTGTCACCACACAATTGCCTATAAGTGGATTAATGAGAGTGTGACACTTGTCATACTTTTTAGAAATTACAAAAAGTTCTTTTCCAAAATATGTCCAAATATAATTTGCAAAAAGGTCCCTAAGATGAAAAATAATTACAAATGATAATTACATAATTACCCCAAAAAGAAAAATGTTTTCGAAGAAACTATGTATCCATACCCTTACATGAAAAGTAAACATGTAGCATACTTTTCTACAAAAGTAAAACAATGCATTTCATGGAAATCAAATGTAATGTATACATGCAAAGCCGGAATCAAATCATAGCACAAAAAGTGAGGTTACGTGAAAGGAAACAATAATCGAGAAAAAGACAAAAAAAAAAAAAAAATACTAGAAAAAGAAATAAAAGAAAATGACCGGGTCATTATAACTCCCCTCCTTAAAGGGATTTCGTCCCCAGAATCAAGCCGTACCTGAAAGTGAAAATAAACTAGGATACTGAGAGCGAACCTCCTACTCGAGCTCCCAGGTAGCCTCCTCGACGCTGTGATGTCTCCACAAGACCTTAACCAACGGAATGGTCTTGGTCCGCAAGACCTGCTCTCGTGAATTAAGAATCTGGACCGGACCTTCCTCGTAGGTCACGTCCTCATCAACAACCACATCAATCCACCGTAAAATATGTGATGAATCTGGCTTGTACTTCCTCAACATAGAAACATGAAAGACGTCATGAACCCCATCCAGGTTTGGCGGCAACGCCAAACGATAAGGAACCTCACTAACGTGCTTTAAAATCTCAAATGGTATAATAAACCTAGGAGACAACTTGCCCGTTTATCGAAATCTCAGAAGCCCCTTGTGTGGAGAAATCTTAATAAAGACATGGTCTCCAACCTCAAAAGACAAGGATCTCCTCCTCCTGTTTGCGTAACTCTTCTGTCTATTCTGTGCGGTAGCCAACTGCTGCCGAATCAACTTGATTTTCTCTATAGTCTTAATGACTATATCAGGACCTAAGGTGACCGTATCACCTACCTCGGTCCAATATACTGGAGATCTGCAAGGTCTACCATATAACACCTCAAAAGGTGCCATGCCAATACTGGTCTGAAAACTGTTGTTGTAGGCAAACTCAACCAAAGGCAAGTAGTCCTCCCAACTACCCCCAAAATCCAAGATGCAAGCCCATAGCATATCCTTCAATATTTGAATGGTGCGCTCCGACTGACCATCAGTCTGACGATGGAATGTCATGCTAAAATGAAGCCCTGTGTCAAGAGCCTCTTGAAAGCCCTACCAAAAATGAGACGTGAACCGAGGATTCCTATTCGAAATAATGGATACATGAACCCCGTGAAGCATGACAATTTGCCTTATATACAGTCCACTAAGTCTCTCTGCACTATCTATCACTACCATGGGTAAGAAGTAAGTCATCTTAGTCAACCTATCAACTATGACCCAAACGACATCATTCCCTGCCTAGGATCTCGAAAGTCCCATCACAAAATCCATAGTGATATGCTCCTATTTCCACCCAGCTACTGGTACTAGTTGCAACAATCATACCGGTTGCTGATGCTCTGCCTTCACTTGGTGACAAGTAAGGCATCGAGCCACAAACTTTGAAACATCCCATTTTATGCCCTGCCACCAAAATTGTCGCCACAAATTGTGATATGTCTTCATACCACCAGGATGAATTGCGAGCCAAGAGTGGTGAAAATCCTGAAGAACATCATCACGACAAGACAGAGGAATGAATATCATCCCCCTGTACTTGAGACCACCGTCTGAATACAATGTCCAACCCTCTACATTCTCGCCGTCTGAAATTCGTGTGTGGATGGACTTTATCTCCCCATCCGTCAATTATGTCTCAATAACTCTGCTAACAAGAACTGGTTGAGCCACAAGGCTAAACAAAATAGCTGATGAATCATCTTCACATAACCACAATCCCAAATCTACAAGCTCTTCTAACATTTTCCATTTATGAATGGAAATACTGGCAAGAGTCCCCCATGACTTGATACTCAATGCATCGGCCACCACATTGGCCTTGCCTGAACGATACTGCAACTCAAAGTCGTAGTCCTTCGTGAACTCGACCCATCTGCGTTGTCTCAAGTTCAAATCCTTCTGAGAAAAGAGATACTTGAGACTTTTTTAATTGGAGAAAACCTCGAACTTCTCCCCATACAAGTAGTGTCTCCACCCTTTTAGGGCAAAGATAACTGTTGCTAACTCCAAATCATATATTGGGTAGTTCAACTCATGAGTCTTCAACTGTCGAGACCCATAAACAACCACCTGCTTTGTTTGCATCAAGACACAATCCAAACCTTCCCGTGAAGCATCACAAAAGATCACATAACCCAAACCACGTTCAATTATGATTAAAACTAGAGCCGACGTCAACTTAACCTTCAACTCCTAAAAAGCAAATTCACAGGTCTCATTCCATACAAAGTTGAGTCATAGGTGCCGCTAGGCTAAGAAAACTTTGAATCTCGAACACTGTCTTTGGACGCTCCCAATCCATCACAGACTTAATCTTCGATGGATCAACTACAACACCGCCCCCTGACACAACATGTCTAAGGAACTTCACCTCCGGCAGCCAAAATTTGCATTTCTTGAACTTGGCGTATAACTGATAATCCCTAAGGATCTGCAACACTGTCCTCAAATGATACTCATGCTCCTCCACTGAAGATGACTACACAAGAATGTCGTCGACGAAAACCACAGCAAACTGATCAAGATGGTCACTGAATACATGGTTCATCAAGTCCATGAAAGCTGCTGGTGTGTGTCAAACCTAAATTGTAATGAAGTGTATAGTGTAGCCAAGTTTGAATTTATAGAATGCCACTACCACTACTAACTAAAATATAGCAAAAGTGAGTAGGAATCGTCCTAAGAGAAAGGAGGTGTATTTGTGCTTGGAAATTAATGTCGGATTAATAAATCAAGTGATCAAAGATGGTTGGTGATTAATTAAGTAAACTAAAATGCAATTAAAAATAATGCAAGTAAATAGCAATCTAGAAATTAGGGAAAAAATATAGGAGAGAAGTCTTGGGGATTCACCACTAAGCTTCACTTCACCAAACACTAGTAATTATAGATTAATAGGGAAATTTAAGTGTAAAATGTGTGTGTGTGTGCCACTAATTGAAAACAAAGCATGATGGATGGCAAATAAGCATAGATTGTCTAATTAATCTAGTGAATAGCACAATCTATCAAATGAGACCAATGACCATTCAATTAAACCACAATTAGTGCACACATAAAAGTCTAAAGAAATTTACTCTTAGCATTCATAAGTATGGAACATCAAGAAATAAGAATGGATTGTCCACATATCTAAGAAATTAAAGCAATTACACTACATCTAGGCTAGAGACATGCAAATTAAACTAATTAAACTAAAGGTGTGGTACGATCCATCAAGAAACAAGTGTAAACCATCAAATAAATCACAAGAGTATTCAATTAAGCACTATGTTTTAACCATCAGTAAATTAACAACATTAATACACATAGACATGCAATAATTTCATTAAATCTAGAGAAAAGCACATGAACATCCATTATAGCATACATAGACATATGGATAGAAAAAAAATGATCAATTGAAAGCATTAATCCATACAAATCAAGTAGAAATCACAAGATCTATATTAATTCAAGATCAAAACATTTATTACTACTAAAATCCCCAAAAATACACAAAAGTTAGGTTTAGGGAGCAAGCCTAGGGACTATCTCTAGCTCTAAAAGAAGGATTTAGCCACTCATTATAGTTGTCATGGAACCTTCAAGGGCTAGTTTAGAAGTTGACATCATCATCTTCATCCTTACTTTCTTCCCAAAACCCTAATTCTA